CGGAGCTGACACTTTGAAGCAGGGGAGGGGGGGGGAGTATGGGGCCAGCAGGGGGCTGCTTGAGTCCCCAGCTGGCCCTGTGCGCCCCACAGCACTTTCGCCTTTCAAGTGTAGCAACAGCCCTGGGGGCTGTTCAAAGGCCGAGGCGCCCTTATGACTAATTGCAAATTGCATCGATTAGTCGATTAACCGGTTAATCTAAACTTAACATCCCTACCTGGGACCTCTGGAGCTTGGTGCGTGAGCCTCTGCTGCGGGGGTGGGGAACCTTTTTGGGTCAGGGGCCTCACACGAGTGAGAAGCTAAAAAAGAAGAACTCACTGACGTGGCTCCCGACTGAGAGAGAGAACGACACTCCCCACATCTCCCCTCCTTCCCCTCAGACAGCAGATCCTAGGGAGGCCCAAGCTAGTAGATTGTTTCCGCCAGCCCCACAGTGGGACGGTGGGGTGGGGCTGGAGTGCCAGCACAGGCTTCCCAATGCTGGGGGGGAACCCCAAGTCTCGGGGGGCCAGATCCAGGCAAGCTGGGGGCTGCACCTGGCCCCCAGGCCTTAAGTTTCCTGCCCCTGCTCTACCACTTAAGCTAGAAGCCAACTGGCTCTCAGCTAAGACTGTAGAGCACTGTTTCTTAAACTTTTTAAGACTAAGAAACACCAAAGACTTTTTTTGCTGAGGGGAAAAAAAAAGCCCCCAGGGAAAAGTTGTTGAGCCAAAAAAAAAGAAAAAAAAGGAGGCTTGCCCTTTAAGGGCAGCCGTTTTGAATTCTGTTCTCTCCTCGGAACGCACTTTGAGAAACGCTGCTGGAGAGCAAATTAGTCCTCTCTCTCTGTAAGTGGTCTCCGTGCCACTGCCTGGGACAGGCCCCGCACCCAGCAGGTGTGTGGGTTACACAAGCAAAGCTGCCGCCCAGTTTCTTTGGGAAGTCGGTGGGACTCGGGATGGGGCGCGTCTACGCGGCCCCTTTGGCCACCCATCTCAGCGCTGCTCAGTGCAAAATGGGTTGGCTGGGTCTGGGGCTATTGTCCAGCATTCACAAAACGCCCACGTTTGCCGACGTAGCAGAGAGGCCAAAGGCTGGAAGGGGCCAGAGGCCGAGTCTCACTCCCACGCCTACCATGCCACACAGGTGGGGTGGGATGGGCGTGGGGTGAGCTCTGGAGGTGGATGAGGCCCACGGTGGTGGCCGAGAGAAGGCGTTAGAACACGGAGTGGGCGACGGCGCTCTCTGGCAATAGCTGCTTGTCCTTCACCTCCCGGCCGTGCCCGTGTGCTCTGCCTCCAGTGTGCGGGGGCCAGCTGCGAGCTGAGGTGAAAACCAAGGACCTGTACTCGCACGCCCAGTTCGGAGACAACAACTACCCCGGGGGCTCGGACTGCGAGTGGGTGATTGTGGCGGAGGAAGGCTACGGGGTGGAGCTCATCTTCCAGACCTTTGAGATCGAGGAGGAGGCCGACTGCGGTTACGACTACATTGAGCTCTTCGACGGTTATGACGGGACCGCGCCACGCCTGGGGCGCTACTGTGGATCCGGGGTAAGCTCCTCAACTGTGCTTTCTTCCCTCCTCCCCCGGTCAGCTTCCGAAGGAGGGGAGATCGGGGCCACACACGAGTGAAACTGTGTGCATGTTGCACACCCACATTTGGGAGCAAAACAGCAGCCCCCAAGCCAGGAATTCCGGGGCAGAGAACCGTTTTTTTTGGCTCAGGAGCCGCTGACCCACAGAAAAATCAGGCAGCAGCATGACACAAGTGAGAACCCTCACGGTTGTGGCCCCCGACTAAGAAGGAGACCCTTGCTTTCAGAGGCTAGGGAGGCCCACCCTAGTAGATTTGTGTGCTCCAGCCCCACAGGGAAGTGGCAGGGGGCTGGAGTGCCAATCTAACCCCCACCAGGTGGATTTGAACCTAGGACCTTAGTATAGGAGCCTTTACCCTCCAAGCTAAACACCAGCTGCCTCCTAGCCCCTACTGTAGAGGTCTCTTGGTCTTAACTGTTGCTGTGGTCTAGGTGCCACTGCATGGGACAGTGAACCACACTAGGTGCATGAGTTACACCAACATGGGCTCCCAAATGCAAGGGGTACCCCTGAGCCTCGGGGGCCGGATCCAGCACCTGAGCCTGAGGTTCCTCACCCCCTGCAATGATTGATCATTCGGTTTGGTGGCTGAACCGAAAAATTCAGGCGGGAGACAAAATGTTTTGTTTGATCCCAAATGGATTTTTTCCAAGTTTTTTTTTCAACATTTTGGGGTGGTCTTTCTTCACCCGCTTATTTTTTAAATGTAAGCCAGTCTAGCCACATTTCTAAACAAAAAGTCGAAAACGTTTGTTTAAAAAATGGTCCATTTTTTACTTTTGGGTTTTTTTTTCCCATTTGTTTTTGGATGACACTGTTCACTGGGGAGAGGTTGGACTGAAAAATGCCATTTTTTGGCAAATAGACGCTTCCCTGAAAAACGCTCTGGCCCCGCGTTAGCTACTGGGGGATGGGCACAGAGTAAGGCCTGATAGAGAATGGAATAACCGATTATAATGCAAACCCCAGCAAGCCCGTTGGAGGAGAGGGGGAAACACCTACCTTCCCGGGGGGAGCGGGAGTTGGGCCCAAAAGGAAAGGGGGAGGTAAGCCAAGCCGAAATCAGTGTCCACCCAGCATCCGTGTCTGCTGAATTAACCCAGTTCAGACTGGTGCATAAATAAACATTAAGCTGCTACGCCCATGCGCGGTGGGGTGTAAACTGCCCCATCCCACGACGTGTCCCGAGATTCATCCGTGACTCTCAGCCCCCCAGGCCTTCGCCCTGCCCCCTCCTTGCTTCAGAGCTGGTGGTGGTTTGCTGCTGACCTCTCTGAGTAGCAACGGACTTTAAACAAGGTTCCCCTTGTACTGGTGGTGGTTTGCTGCTGACCTCTCTCAGTCGCAACGGACAAGCCCCTTCCTGCGACCCACTGAGCTGCACTGGGGGAAGGGGAACTTTAAACAAGGTTCCCCTTGTTTGCCCCAGGGAGTCTGCACACCAGCGATGGGCAACCCAGGCTGTGCATTTGCCGCAGGAGTTGGCCTCCTTCATCTCAGTGGGCCGCAAGACTGTTGTAACCAAGTAGGGTTGCCAGATGCCTTCACAAAAAATCCCGAACATGGCGGGGCAAAAATTGGCTGAGCGAGAAAAAAAAAGTGGGGAGACCATACTCGAGAGGGGAAAAAAAAGGTCGCTGCACCTTTAAATTCCCCTGTTCCCCCGGCTAGATGCGGCAGGAGGAAAATGTCCCCACCGGCCTTCCGTCCGAGAAAAACAGAAAACACCCGACATTTTACATGCGCCGGTATTTTCTGTTTTTTCGTAACTGGCAGAAGACGCAATTACCGGACACCTGGCAACCCTACACGCCCATCTGTGGGGATCGGGCAGTTTTGCTCACTGTGCTGGTATACCTAGAATGTGCAGGAGCCCTGGCTTTATGTGTCATTTTAGTAACACTGGTAGGAAAAGACGAAGTGGACGGAAACCAGCGGAGTCTGGCAGCCCTGCGCAGGGGCATCGTAACCAAAATGTCTCGCAGGCCGCTCACAGAATCCCGATGGGCCGGATGCGGCCCTAGGGCCGTAGGTTGCCCACCGCTGTTGTAGACTCTCAGACCCCTGCAGACTTGCCCTGTGGGGGGAGAAACGGGGCCCTGACCATCTCTCTACTCCATTGCCTCCCGCCAGCCCCCGGAAGAGGTCTGCTCCGCCGGAGACTCGGTGATGATCAAGTTCCACTCGGACGACACCATCAACAAGAAGGGTTTCCACCTGCGGTACACCAGCACCAAATTCCAGGACACGCTTCACTCAAGGAAGTGAGGGGCCACAGCCACCGGGGCCCCTCGCCACCCCCCCGCTGGAGGGACGGTTCTTTTCTGCATACAACAACCGCATGCGCGGGGCGGGGGGGCCACACAGGCAGACAGACAGACTGGACGGAGAAACACACCGCGAACCTCAGCACTAAGACACACTCACACAGTGGCCAAGGTGCAGTCAGCTGCTGGCTCAGAGCAGATTTTTTTTTTTTGCGGGGGGGGGGAGGGGGAAGGGGTCTTTTTTCTCTTTAAATACACATTCCTGTGCCTCTTTGTTTGATGAAGCAGGGCAGCCCCTCCAAGCCGGAAGCAAATGTTCTTTTTAACCACTTTGCAACTACCGTTGATGAATCGATTGTACTACCTCCCCGGGTCGCCCCCCCCCACCCCCTAGGAGGTATCGCTTAATGCGGGAAAGCCCAATCGTGTGGCAGGTCTTTGCCTTTATAAACTTGACAAAGCAGGTATCGGCTCAGCTCCCTGAACGTCCAGACCCCACAGGAGCGAAGAGCCCAGCACGCCCGCCTGTTGTAACAGTGTAATAAATACTCGGTCTTGTCAGGCCGTTGGCCTTTTTAACTCTCCGCTCTTTGCGGAGTTTGTTGTCGTGGTGCTTTTCTGAGAGAAACCTAATGTGCCGGGGGCCTTCCCCCCCCCTCAATGTTCTTAAACGCCTGATCGCCGGTTGGAGCGTCGTCCTCTCTCACGACCCATCGGTCGATCTAGAGACCGCCCCAAAGCAACTGCGGGAAGGAGTTCCATCGGCCCCAGTTGGAAGGTCTGCATCTAATAAACGGAACATGTTGCAAACGAACCCGCCTGGAGTCCTTGCTGGCATGCGCCTGCCCACCAGGTATTCCCTGCTGTGTCCCTTCTTTTGGGGATCCTCTTTTGTCCTCTGCCACCTGCCGGTGGTCTCTGGCCGTGCTGACTCTTTTGGGGGGGGGGTCCTTCTTTGCCACAGTCCCATTGGGTCTCCCTCTTGGGAGGGACACTAATCTCCTGGGTCCTGTACTCCTGCCGGCTCGCCTTCCGTGTCCAGCGCCTCCGTTTCTTGCGGGGCTCTTGCGGTAGTGGTGCTCTCCAGATGTTTCCAGCTGAGCTCTCTCTTTTGTGGGCCCTTTTCTGCGCTGTCTCCATCTCCCGTGGGTCTGATTCTCCTTTCGCGCACATCTTAAGGTGGAGGAATTCTAGCGGTGCCTATGGAGTGTCTCCAGTGTATGGTGAATGAGACTGAAAAAGGCCCACTCTATCTGGGTCTGGAGGCAGGAAAGCAGTGAAGCAAGCACATCAGTGTTACGTGTCAAGAAGCGCATCGGTGCTTTGCTGATACGGGGAGTTGCAGAGGAGAGGATGGGCTTGATTGTGCATTATTAAGAAGTACTTTTTGTACATGTTTTTGTATTCCGATCACTTTTCCCCTCACGCCATGTGCTAAGGGGAATAGCAGGAAACTGTTACAGAGTAATTAGACACAAGAGAAACCTGTAAGGTCAGAGGGGCACTTAGAGTCAGCAAGGAGCAGAGTCTTGGACAATGTTTCCTCTAATTCTTTTCTATCCGTGTGCAGAATAAATTTTGTTCCATGCACCGATGCATGTGAGGATGTGCACCACCAGGAGACAGACATGCTACCGGCTGGGGGCGCTCTGATAATTAGCGGAGCGGCCTTTGTCCCTCTGCTGGGTGGCCGCCCAAGCACTCGGCTTACAGGGATCACTGGTCTGTCCTGGGTGTGAACCCCAATGAGGCTGGGTCTCTGAAATGCTCAGGTGCCGGCACATTTGCCAGGAGGTGCCAGGTGCAATGAGAACAGCGTTCGCACACGAGCCTGTCTCTGACCCAGAGATGGGTCCGATCCCAAACTCCAGAGCTTCAGGACAGATCAGAGTCAGGCCTGAATGGTGCCCAGGGGTCCCGCTCAGACTGCAAGAGCCATTTTGCAGCAGAGGAGCCTTTGGACAGAGGCTCGAGACAAATAGGGAGAGCTCCTGGTCCTGTCCAGGGGAAAATCCAGATGCCTGGATCCCACTCTCCATCCTCAGCCCAAATAGTGGGCGGAGTCCTGGTCGGGCAGGGGAGTTTCCGGCTCTGTTGTGGGTTTGCGGGAGGCACCTGGGAAGGGAAGCCAAGCGCTGGAAACGTTCACCCTCAGCCTTCCCAAACTCCTCTCTCCTCCTCGCTCCGGCCCAAGAAGTGTGATCCTGCCTCTGTCCCTCTCCTGTCCTGTGTCTCTCTGCATGAGTCGCTGGGACTCTCGCCTGTGGGTCTGCCTGTCCTGTCTTACGTTTCTGCAGCGTTTCTCCTCCCGAAGGGTCCCAAAGCACCCAGGGAGCCCATCCTGGGGGCTTAGCACCCCTGGGGGACCTTTGCCCTGGGGTGGGGTGACTGCGCGGTGGACAGCTAGGATACAGGGTGGTGGGAAACTGGGGGACACAGCAAAAACACTGCGTCAAAATATTGAATAAGAACATAAGAACGGCCAAAGGTCCATCTAGCCCAGTCGCCTGTCTGCCGACAGTGGCCAGCACCAGGTGCCCCGGATGTCTTTACAGAGGAACTGGGACGTCTGCCTGCTCCAAAAGACATTGCAAGGGGCCCCACTTCAGCTCCCTGGGAAGGGTTAACAGAGATGCACTAAGCGCCGCCAGAGCCCCGCACAGCCGAGGCTCCGCCGTGGGGCAGGCCTCGTTCAGCAGCGCTGCCAATGACTCCAACGAGCGTTTCCCCATTCAGGGCAGAGGGGGTAGAAGCTGAGTACGGGCCTCAGGACTTGCGCTGTTCTTTCCATCAGTTCCCGCGTGTCTGTGGCGATTCCTGTGCTGAGCAAACTGCTCCGTTCGACGTGGCTCTGAGGCTGGAGTTTCTCTTTTGCTCTTTCCTCGGCCCAGGGGTGCTAGAAAAAGAGAAAAGTACCCATAGGCCGGGGGTCGGTAATCATTCTCACAGGGGGGCCACTTAATGAATTTTGAGATGCGGTCACAAGCCGGCTCCCTCCCCAGAAGGGGCGGGACCTGGAGTGGAAGGGGCGGAGCTGGGGACTATCTTCCCTCTAAAGTTGTCTGGGGCTGGAGGCTTTGAATGAAAAACACAGCAAAGGGCTCGCGACTCCTAGCCCCACCGCTACTGCATTGCCTGCGGTTGCTATTTAAAGAGATCGTGGCTCCGGCCTATGCAGGGGGAGCACCGCGACTGGCAACCGTGAGCCATTTAAATAGGATCTTGCGGCCTGAGCCACTGCCTGGAAATTGAGTGGCAGAGGCAGCAGGACAGACGTAGAAAGTGGCCAGATGCAATACGAGGGCTGGATCAAAGTGTGAGGTGGGCCGGATCCGGCCCCCGGGCTGCATCCTGCCCAGCCCTGCTATATACTGTGATGCTGGATGACCTAGATTAAATAGCGTGGCTAGCTTAGTTATCACTGACATTGTCCATCGCTCCTCTAGCCAGGACTAAGCTGGGACCCATCCCCATTGAACAAAGTGAGAAGGGCAGGAAGTACACACACACACACTCACACTTACATACACACACACACACACACACACACACTCCACATGCCAGATCACAGCGCCCCTCTGGCGAATCCAGGCGTTTAAGGAGTCCAGGAAACAGGTCTCCGAACTTTCTCCGGAAAGTGACTAACCTGCAGTCCGCTTCCTGACAGTCTCTGCTGCCAGCCTCGGTATGAAGGGTGCTTATGACATCACCCGGGCAGCCGCTGATGTCATAGACAGCTGGCGCGCGGCTCTGGAGTGAAGATGATACGGAGATGGGCCAAGTGAGCGGGAAGGGAGTGGTATGAGGCTCAAGAAAGAGAAATGGCAGGACATGCACTACACCCCTCGGCAGCTTTCCAAGAAGATCGGAGTCACCTACTCCATGGCCCAGTTCATAGTGCAGAGCTATCGCCGGCCACGCCACCCCAGAGCCGGCCAACGTGTCGCCCACCTGCAGCCAACTCCCAGAAAGCCCCACGGGACTGTGTGTAAGGCCCAGTGCACCTGTTATGTCAGGACCAGGGGCCAACGTGCTGGCGCGTCCTTGACATCTTGCAGCAGAGCAAAGGGGGAAGCGAAGGAGGAGACGAGTGACAGGGAGGCTCCGTTGGCATCCAGTGCCAAGGGCGGGAGGGGAGTCAGGAACAGCGGGGACTCGGATGCGCCTTCTCTTCTCATCGCCTCGCGATATTACTCCTGGGCCAAGTCCCGAAAGGAGGACGTGAGCGACGCTGATGGCCCCTCCACATCCTCCGCCAGGGGAAGAGGCTACCTGAGACCTGCGAGAAAAGCAAAACTTTCCAAAGGAAGGAAGACAAGGAGGAGACCACGTGTGAAAAGGAGAAAAAGAGCCATGAGCAGGAGACGCCAAAGGGCAAGAAACCCGCTCGCTTGTGTGCCTCCCACGCTGCCCTGCCAGGACCGAGGTAGAGAAATTCCCATCAGCCTCTTTCTGGATGTACCATTGACCATCTACCTGGAGGATGAATGGGGCACGTGGGCAGTGAAAGGAGAGGAGAGACAAGCTGGCAGGAAGCGGAGAAACAAAGGCGTTGCTGTCCAAGTGCCTTCCATGTGCACCACCGAGCTAGTGGCAGGAGGCAGCTACCAAACCGATTCTTCTTGTGGCGAGGGCGAATCCAGGACCCAGCAGTGGGCTGCAGCTGCATCCAAGACAGTGGCTGAGAGCCCAGGGGAGAAGGTGGCTCCGGTCCCTGAAGAGATCGCCTCTGACCATGGGCCTGATCCAACAGTAGGCGAGGTCCCGGCAGCCAGCAGCAAGCAGTGTGCTGGCTCTGGGCGGTGGGAAAAGCTCCAAAACTGGCTGCTGTCCTTCGGAATGTGTTTGGAAAATATAATAAAGTCCTAGCTCTCCCAGCCAGACCCTTTCCTGTTTGCTAATGCTTCCTTGGTCCCCAATGGGAGCACACTAAGGGCTTGTCTACACTGGCACGTTTGGTCGCCCAAAACTGCCTTTTGGTGACAAAACTGTGAGAGCGTTTGCACCGCCATGCGGCTTTTGTTGGGAAAAACACCCAGTTTTGACAACAAAAAACTTCCAGCCTTGCCCGAGACTTTTGGCTTTTCCCCTCCCTTTCTTGTCAACAAAGAGCCAGTGTGGACTCTTGCTGTTTGTTTTGTCGAGAAAACCGGCTTCCCCCAGTATCCCACAAGGCCTGCACAGATGGCTGTGCTCAGTGTTTTGTGATCTCTGCTGCCCTGCAGGCATGTGCCCCTCCCCCTTTCAAAGCTCTGGAAAGTGTCTGACAGCTGAGTGAGCTGCTCTGTTTGGGGAACAAAGAGCAAATCATTGGACTGCTCCTGTTCTGCCCTGCTAGGAACCCAGCGGCAGGGGGGGCTGCTGCTGCCGGGGAATGGCTGGCAAGGGTTGCTGTGCTGCTTGGACATTCCTCAGCACAGAGAGCTCCCAGAGCTCCAAGGGAATCCAAGAAATGCAGGGATCAGCTCTGCCTTCCCACCACACTGCCCTGTGGGGCACTTACCCAGAATGCTTTGCTCTGTCAACAGGGGAGCTAGCCATGTGGCCAAGAATGGTCGACAATGGGAGGCAGAAAAACCGGCTTGACCGGTTCTCACTTTCGGTGACTGTTGCGCGTCGGCGGCACTTGTGTCTCCAAAGCTCCCCAGTGTAGACATAACCTCAGAGTGCTGAGCCAGGGACCAGGGGCGTCACAATGGGCTGGGAACACTTGCAGGGCGCCAGCTGTGAGCTGCAGGAGAGTCTGGCTTTGAGGGCCTGTTTTAAAGCCACCGAAGTCTCTATGCTGACTTCCCTGGGCTTGTAATTGGGTCCTTGTTCACCACCATCTGCTGAGCATCTTACATCCTGGGATCAGGTCATTATCTGGTCCCTGGCCACAGCCCCAACACCTGGCAGGCAGCTTGCTCAGGCAGGGGCTGGCCTACAATCACGCTATTCTGGGAGAGTCCCTCTGATTTTAGGGGTCCAGCAGGGCCTAGCAGGGAGGGGAGGCAGCTGAGTGGGTAATAAACACTGTCTGAAAAGTATCTCAAGTCGAGCTGGGTGGAGGACAGTTCTCTGTCCTGGCAGGGTTGTTGAGAGGTGCAACTTTTTTCCCATCCCAATCTATTTTTCCCATCTCCAAAAAAATTGGTGACTTGCAGCTCAGAAGAATGGTTTGCTTTGGTAACTTTGTTTCAGTTTCAAATGCACACACACACACACACAGACACCCACACCCTGTGACGTAGTGGGGGTACCTGGCTGGTTTCTATGCTGCTGGCTCTGGGGTAACCCCCACTGGCTGCCATGGGTACCACGACCCAGCAAAACAGGATGAGTCACTATGCAAACCGGTATGGCCAGACACCCCCCATGGAGAGGAACAAAGGGAGGGGGAATGCTGCCCTGGCTGGGGGGCAGGGCTGGAAGAGTGTTAGTGAGTTTCTGTCTGGGAGCATGGAGGAGACAGCCTAGGGAAAGGGGCTGGAGTTTAGGGGCCCAGTCTCCCCCATCTCAAGGGGGCCTGAGGCATCCTAGCCCAGCTCTGTGACCAGATTCCATCTGTGCTGTGCTGTATCCTGGAGAGGCAATAAACTTCCTCTATTCCACCGGCTGGTGCAGTCTGTTTGTGCCATTTCGGGGTGCAGGAGACGGGGGACCCCCAACGCGCCGTCACACCCCCCCACACCCAGACACACACCCACCCACACTTACACACACGCCGCATTCTTTGAAGCCCTTTTTGAGAGTAAATTCGCTAACATGGCTGCGCTGAATGTTGCTTTGCGGCAGAAATCGGAACAGCTCCTTTCGCTAGTGTCAAAGCTTTGCCATTTCAGAACTTGTCCTTTTTCGGGCTGTGTGCGGGGGGAGCTACCCGAACGGACCCTCTCCCACCAACAGCTCCGGCCCCAGCCAATTGGCCTCTTCTGGTGAAAAGACCCTGGGTTGGGAAACTCCCCTCCAGCTCGGGTCTCTCTTGCAATTGCAGCTCCTCGGACCCTCCGGATGACAGGCCGCTTTGATTTAGGTGCCGACAGCTGCGGGGAATGTTGGCCTCCTTCTTCCCTTTCCGTGACTCCCTTCCATCTGCCCAGCTCGCGTCTGGATTCAATCTGCGTTGGCCCTCGCGCTGTCTTTGTATTGATGCCCTGCCAGCAATTAACGTTTCAGCAACCCCGGCGCTGTCACATCAGGGGCGCCTGTCTGCTCCCTGGGCTGCATGGACAGAAAGGGCCGCCTGGGCAGCCTGCAGCCTGATTCCCACTAGTTCGCCCGGTCCTTTCAGTAGCCGCCGATTCGCCCTGTGCTCATTGGGCCAACTGTTAAGTGGAGACGGAGTGGGGAGAGCAAACCCGGAGCCCATTTCAGCTGACTCATGAAATTATGCATGGACTGAGCCCGGTGGATGTGGTTGCCCATCACTGACCTCTGTTGGATGGTAGCTGAACTGCACAATAGTGTGGCATAGGTCTACTACTGCTAGCTGCTCGTAGAGATTTGTCAGGGAGCATCTCAGGCTTGTGTAGTCTGTGGGGGACTGTTGTGCAGCCAGAGTCAGTAGGGTTGATGGAGTCCCACCAGTTCTGGAGTAAAGTTCCCAGCTCTAGCTCCGTCCTGCGAATCCACAAATCCCTGGAGAGAAGGCTCAGAGGATGCTCTAGGGATGCTAAGTAGCAGTTAATCTAATCGAGTAGTCGATGGAATTTCCATCGACTACTCGATTAGTCGATAAGAGGGCTAACCCCAGATGCTAGGCTCTTACTGCATTTCAAAGGCAGAGCCGCAGCAGTCCCGGACCCGGCTCCCTCCAGCACCGGCTCCTGCTTCCCCTCCTTGCTGCTTCTAATATAGAGCAAGGGAGGGGGGAAGTGAGTATAAAGGGAGCAAGGGAGGAGGGAAGTGAGTAGTGCCTCAACTACCCGATAAGAGATCCACGTCATAGAATCCTAGGGTTGGAAGAGACCTCAGAGGGTCAACGAGTCCCCTGCTCAGAGCTGGGGCTGGACTCTGAAGAGGGGATGGTATAAAAGTGCAGGGAGTACCCACGTTTGATAGATTCTGAACTTTGTCTCCGCACAAAGCTATTTTTGCGTCCATAAGCGAGACACGGACGCAGGAGGCGGCGAGAAAAACGGTGACTGTTTGAATGCTGCTTGCAGCCTCGGGAGAGAAATGTGTCCGTCCCACCTCAGAGCTCAACCCACCTGCAATGGGCGCCCGGGTGGCCCCACTCTGTGGTCCTGGCCTTGATCTTCTGCCACAAGTTCAATTCCTTAGTGGAGCAGCGTCTTGGAGACCTTGGACAGGGAGGCTTGAGTACTTCTCCCCAGCCAAGGCGGTGTACTCAGCAGAGTCTGGATGCATGAATTCTACTGCACCACCCTTGATTGGGACCCATGGAGCGGAAAGTCCTGTCACCCATTTGATCCCTCCGCACAGGATAGCGCCGGGATCAGAATGCAGCAAACACCCTGGACCAAGTGGCAGTGGCTTGTGCTTTTGCAGTAGCCACGAGTGAGTTCTCCCTCGGCTGATCTCGCCGCAGCGTTGCGAGCAGCCGTGGCGTGCCACATAAACCCGGCGGGGCTTTGTTTCACGGCGCCTTTCGGCTGGGGCTCACAAACCACGATAAGCAGGGAGAAGTGATTTGCAGGGTGATGCCGTAACTGGACAGCTTCACTCCAGTCCTTCTGCTTACCAGGCAGCTCCCGTCCGGGGGTTCACATGTAGTCTGAGAGGCAGAGGAGAGGTGAACCCAGCTCCCAAATCACCACGCATAGTGTTCCTAAGCACTGATGTCACCGTGGCGGGGGCAAAGGACAGGACATAGGGTACGTCTAGACTACAGGCTTTTGTCGACAGAGGCTTTGTCAACAGGTACTGTCGACAAAGCTTCTGTCGACAAAGAGCGTCTAGACGACATCCAGTTCTGTCGACAAAGCAAGCCGCTTTGTCGACATGGGAGGGTGCAAAGGACAGTGTAGATGCAATAACGCCTTCTGTGGACAGAACTCTGTCGACAAAAGGCGTTATTCCTCGTAGAATGAAGTTTACCGCTGTCAACAAAACTGCCGAGTTCTGTCGACGTTATGTCGACAGAACTCGGCGGTAGTGTAGACGCAGGAATAGTTTTGTCGACAAAAGTCTGTAGACAAAACCCTGTCGTCTAGACACACCCATAGTGTGGGGCTGAGACCCTAGAGAACAGAGCAGGGGAAGGCAATTGAAATGGTGCAAAGAGATCCAGTTTTGCAGCTTACATTGCCTGGGAGCCTGGAGTCAGGATTCTGCATTCTGCAGTGGCCATGGGCAGCCATTTTTAGCACCGAGACGTGTAATATCCCCCGGTCCACATGGGCTATCGAAGGTGAGTCTGGGTCTAAAATGTGAGACACACTCCCCGAAGGAGGAGCAGACGGGACGTAGACTAACACCTCCATGTGCCGAGGCTCTGGGACTTTGCACAGGTCTGTGCCGTTTCAGAAACAAGACAGCTCCGCAGCTCCCTCTTGTGACCAAACAAGCTAGTGAGCATACAATGACAGAATTATACAACCCCCGGCCCAAAGCAGGACCAATCCCAACTCAATCATCCCAGCCGGGGCTTTGTCAAGCCAGGACTTAAACACCTCTAGGGATGGAGATTCCACCAAAGAGTTTTTCCTAATCTCCGACCTAGACCTTCCGCACGGCAACTTGAGCCCATTGCTCCTTGTTCTGCCATCTGCCACCCCTGAGAACAGCCTCTCTCCATCCTCTTTGGAACCCCCCTTCAGGTAGCTGAAGTCTGCTCTCAAATCCCCCCTCCCTCTTCTGTAGGCTAAATAAGCCCAAATCCCTCAGCCTCTCCTCGTAAGTCATGTGCTCCAGCCCCCTCATCTGTGTTGCCCTCCGCTGGACCCTCTCCAATGCATCCACATCCTTTCTGTAACGGGGGTGCCAGAACTGGACACAAGACTCCAGATGTGGCCGAATAAAGGGGAATGATCCCTTCCCTAGATCTGCCGGCCATGCTCCTCCTAATGCAGCCCAATACGCCGTTAGCCTCCTTGGCTGCCAGGGCGCCCTGTTGACTCATCTCCAGCTTCTCATCCGCTGTAATCCCCAGGGATGGGACTAAGCTGGGTAGATGGGGTGTCAGCATTTTCTCAGAGGCTGGTTTGCTCTAAGTGTCAAGTGGCGTCTATTATCTGGGAGGAGCAGCAGTGAGTAGCAGGGAATGGGGGCGGGGTGGGAGAGGATGGTGCTGCTGGGGAGATGGCATTGCGAGGGCAGCCAATGCTAGGAGCTTTGGGAAGGCGTCTGTTGCCAAGGAACATAACAGCAAGGGCACCTGTTCCCAGGCAGACTTGTTAGTGATCTCTGATTGTGGTTGTGGAACGCTCCAAAAAATAATATTTTCTGTTCATGAGAGGGTGGGGGAATAGTTTTAAGTCATTTGGCCTCTGACTGAGTGGAGCCCAGTGGCCCATGTGAAATGCGTTTGCCAGGTCTTGGCCCAGCTGGGCGAGCATCAACATCAAAAAACAATGGCTACCTAGTTCTGCCACTGACCCCTCTCTATGCATCAGTTTTCCCATCTGTAAAATGGGGATAATTAGGCTGCCCTCATTTATCAAGCTCTTGGGGAATCTACTGATGACAAACACGACAGAGGTAGACGCTCTTACAGGAGGCCCCCGACTTGCAACCGCCCAAGTTCCAACCCCCCCGCACTTACAGACATTTTTGTAAGTGCAAAAGGGGCCAGAAACCCCTGACTTATGTCCTCGCCCTGCATTTATGATGGCGCACGCTGCTACCATAAATGCCGGTTCGAGTTACGACGCTTCCCCTGGAACCAATCACGTTGCAAGCCGGGGGCCTCCTGTATTTGGGATGAGCAGGAGAGTAGGGAAAAATTTGCCCTGCCTGCCTCTGTCCGTGCTGCGTCTACTCTGTGCACAATCTCCAGGCTTGTTGCAAATTGCAGGTAAGAAAGCTGAATACCCCTTGGGATAAAACCTTCATCTGGGAGTCACCGCTAGATCCCTGATAGGCAGCTGGTCCTTGCCCCTGCTCCAGGAGGAAGGGATGGGCAACCAAACGGGCAAGTTTTCTTTTCTTGGTCTGTGTTTCATGCTAATGATACGAGTGGGATAATAGTGCAAAGCATGATGGGTAATTGCATGTTAATTGCCAGTTAGGATCTTTTTTAGCAATGTTCTCTCGCTCACTGTAGCTTGCCTAATTTGCAAAGGGAACTTGTGTGTGAATAGGATCTTTTCATATATTATTTAATAATACCAGACACTGACATCAAGAACAGCCTCTGCGGTGACACTTGCTGGGTTAAAAATGACGTGGGTCATCCATCCTCATGCTCCCCGGTACGGGCTGCCCACCAGCCGGCGGTCAGGAGGAAACCTGCCCTCTCAGCCCTGCCTAGCCTGCTGCTGCACAGCTGGCCAGGAGCGTAATGCAGACGTGCCCTCTTTCTGGATTAATTGCCAGGCAGCTACTGACGCGCCTTGTTCTTGTGGAGATGAGTTTTGCAGCATTTGCGATGACTAATTTAAAACATCTCATTGGCAACATCTGCGAAATCACAGGCATTGCAACTGCCATGGCTTGGAACGCGCCGCACTAGAAGTGGAGGGGAGGGGGGATTTTTTTGTTCTGGCCTCCCCTGTACCATCTGGCTTTTCTTAGGGATGACAGACAGGAGCCCAGCCTAGGTGGACCGTTCGTGTGTCCTGGTACAGCTGGAGGCAGGATTCCACGCTGCAGATGAAGACCGTGAGAGAGGGCACTGGTCTCTCTTAGCGCAGACCAAGACAAGATTCCCAACTAGACTGGCTGTGAGCTCTACGCTCTGAATCCAGAACCTCCTACTGCTTTCGCCAACTCTTTTCCTTAGGTCTGCAGGCACATTGGGCACAGATCCTCAGAGAGACCGAGGCACCTGATTCCCTTGGGAGCTAGGTGCCTAAACACCTTTGGCAACTCGAGCCTCTGTGCCCCATTCCGAAGGCAGAGCGTTAGCCAAGCGCAGCAGAGCTGCTTCCGAGGTCTCAGAGGCGCTGGAGTAATCTCAGGGCAGCCGGGGAGGAAGGAAATGAACCTCTCGGGCTGCAAGATCCTCTCTCCACCTTGGCAGGGAGAAACCCTGCAGTGTTCTGTCGGGATCACCCGAAGCAAGGCCGGCCCCGCTCCACCATCCTCGCTCGCGCAAAGTCAAGGGCTGCAGAATTAGCCGAGTAGAAACGCGTGTGTAAAGTGCTTGCGCGTGGGATACTATTATGGGGTTTTGTATAGTACGGATTACAGCCTAGCCGCG